GTTTACATAGTCTTCTTAATAATGATATAACAAATTGTGGTCATGTGTATATGAAATTACGAATAACATATGTACTCAAGATATTAAATTACTGTTTTTTTCTTTCAATTTTTTCTTTGTAAAGTATAAAATCATGCGTATCCTCACGGTTTGTGTCTTATTTTGTGAGCCAACTGACAACAGTTGTTCACTCCTCTTTTTTTCCCCTGCTCCGCTGGCCATGCCCACTCTTCCCTCTGCTCGCCGAGCTCCACGCCCATCATGAAGCAATTTTTGAAAAAATTCTGAGGTGGACATGAACCGAAAGAGGGGGCTTTCATGGCACTTTAAGTCATATTATGTAGTATACAGGTTTACCTTCTTGAAAAGATACGTCTAAAACTAACTGTTTCCAATATCAAGTGAAATGTTCATAAAATTGAGGCTGAGGTAAGGTTAAATGAAGTTAAAAATGTGTTGACATGCTTTTTGATTGCCAAATGGAATATCAGAAAAGTCTCATTCGCAATAGTGTAAATTAAACGAATACATGCCAGCACATATTAGAATTTATGGACTTATCTCCAGTTTCCATTTTCAGTAACGCAAAAGGCAGACTCCCAAGCACAGACAACTTGATTTATCCTGAAGATACACCTCCATGTATGTGGCAGTAAAAGAAATTGAATCATTATGCTAGACCTTGATTCGGCTGATATAAAATGAAATAAAACCTGCTCATGCCTGCCAAAAATCTTGATTTGGAGTCAGCCAAGGCCATCCTGGAAATAAATGGGGGTTAGGCGAGGAGGGGGGGGAAGGGTGCAAATGTTCAAAAAGAATAGGACTTGTTTGCTTCAAACTATTTCAGTGCATCAAATCAATAGTGAAAAAATATTGGCGTTGTATTTTTCATTTGGCTTCAGCCTTCACCTCAGGCCGTTTTGAAAAAGATGCTCTAATTGGAATTCAAAGCCACAGCGGAAATGCTTATTACACTTCCACATGACATTTGTGTCTCTTTTCCCATGGCTAGAACAACAACGAGCATGGCCGTCTGTTTGATATGCATTTAGAGCCTATCCTCTCCTGTGTTGACTCTGCTGTCATGTGTGGCATGTTCTGATGACTACAGGGAATAAAATTGATTATCTATGGTTTCAAATCAAACACATGAAGACATTTTGAAAGCTGTTTGACATTCAGTACAGCATGAGAAAAAACAAGTGAACAAAGCAAACATTTACACAGTGTTTTCATGACAGATTTATTTAAAGGTGACCTATTAAGTAAAGTCTCATGGCCCAAAATGAGTCTGTGAAGCTTCAGCTAAAAATACCCCACAGATCAGATATTTTGCCATGCTATGTTTTTCTCCCCTTTTTTTTTTTTTTTTTTGAGTGGAAGCAAAGAAATTTTGTTAATTGCTTGTCTAATTGCTTGTACGCTGTCAAATACACACAAAAATAGATCAAAAACACACAAAGTTCAGATACATGCAGTTGGTTTTGAGTGTGAACATAAACAGCTGGGAAAGAAATGAGATAATGCATAATAACATACAGTACATACACTGAAGTCTATGATGTGACTGGAGAACTGCAGTAGCTTAAAGGGTTAGTCTGCCATCTGTCTAAATGTACTCATACTTTATTCACTTTCAAGTGGTTCCAATCTTTTACGAGTTTCTTTCTTTTACTAAACAAATAAGATATTTTGAAAAATGTTGGAGTCATCCAAAAAATGATTTATTCATTCATTTTCTTTTCGGCTTAGTCCCTTTGTTAATCAGGGGTCGCCACAGCGGAATGAACCGCTAACTTATCTAGCATTTGTTTTAAGCAGCGGATGCCCTTCCAGCCGCAACCCACCACTGGGAAACACCCATACCTTCTTACATATACACACATACACTGCGGTCCGGTCAATTTAGCTTATTCAGTTTACCTATAGCACATGTCTTTGGACTGTGGGGGAAACCAGAGCACCCAGAGGAAACCCATGTGAACACGGAGAGAACATGCAAACTCTAAACAGAAATGCCAACTGACCCAGCTGGCTCTTGAACGTGACGTGCACAAACAATTATATAATTGCTGAAATTGGGACCAAAGTGAGCCAAGATACAAATATGTCATAATTTTAAGACCAAAGAACATTTCGAATACACATAACAATTCGAATCATACACTGAGGAAGGCATTGTGCCGAGAGGCAAGTTGGTGTGCATCCAACTGAGAAAGTTAGTTTCACCAGCGCGACTATTAGAAAGATTCATTCTAGAGCCAGAGCAAGCACAAAACAGTCTAAAATTAAGCAAACTGTGTTTTATCTCTTTACAGTCTATTCTAATTGGTTTGTGTTATTACTATTTGACATAAAAAGGCAGTTTTATTTTTATTTTTTACATCATTCTGGTATTTTTTCTGCTCTTTATGATGTTTATATGTAAAGTATTAAACTAATCTAATATAATATGCAGATAGACAGACAGACACAGACAGACAGACAGACAGACAGA